CACTTTAGAAAGCGACATTTGATAACATGAAGGTGGATTCTAGAGCAAACTACACATTATTGCCTCCTGGGATTCTAGTTTTCAGCAAAGGAGACTTTCTTCGCAAAGGTAGATCAGCAATAATTCATACTCTGGGGTTTTTGGAATGTGCCAGGCTTCATCTGAAACCAGGGCTGTCACCTTCATCTGAAAGGCGCTTTCTAAAGTTGTATGGATATGTCCCAACAGCCTCTCTTTCTGCTGTCTCTCCTGTTGACCCAAACAAATTTCAGGTGTGGATATATTCCAACCTGTTTCAAGGACCATTCTATTGGTTGGACAATCTGATCCTTTCATTTCTCTTAAGCATTGACCAACTTGGTGAACTCAAGATCATTTAGAACCTCACTGGGAGACCATTGATTCCATGATTACAGTTTTGAAGAGGCCTCTTCTCTCTAAATACAGCACAGCAGCACAACTTTGGTTTCCAAAGTTGCATCTGAACAAATCACAAGACTTCTGGAACATTGTCCTTTGGACGAATGAAAGCAAAGTGGAGATGTTTGGCCACAATACAAAGAGCCACGTTTGACAAAAACAAAACATGGATATCAGCACAAACATCTTATACTAACCATCAAGCATGGTGGTAGATGGTGGTTGATTTGGGCTTGATTTGTAGTCACAGGGCCTGGACACCTTGCAGTCACTAAGTTGACCATGAACTCCACTAAATACCAAAGTCTTCTAGAGTCACATGTTAAGCCAGCGGTCTGAAAGCTAAAGATTGGCCAACATTGGGTCATGCAACAGGACAATGACCGTAACACATCAGCATGAATACCACAGAATTGCTGAAAAGGAAAAAAAAATGTTGCAATGGCACTGTCAAAGTCCAGACCTCAAGTGGATTGAAATGCTACAGTGGGACCTCAAGTGAACTGTACATAAACAAATGCTCACAAACTTCAATTATGTAATGTTGTAAGGTAATTTTGTAAAGAATAGTGGGCCAAATTCTTCCAAAGAATGAAAATTCTTCCAAAACTATTGAATTTTAAGTTTTACATACACAGTGTGTACAGTACAGTGAGACAAGAGTGATAGAAATCTACATCAGCTAAGAAAGTTCCCCTTGACCTGTTTTACATTTCCAAATTAGGTTAATACTCAATCGTTTTCGATGTCCCCTCTTGCTGATTTTTTGAATACAGAAGTTCTGCTGACACAATGATTGACTAAAGATCAGTATTTGAACACTCTACTGAAGTATAAGTACATTGAGAAACCATTGTAAATAAGGTGGCTTAAGGACATAACATGAGTGACTGTCAGAGTCTATATAGATAAGGTAAGGTAAGAAAAGAATTGCAATTTGTATGTTTTTAACATTGTAATTAAAACTTTCCCTTCTACATAGAATTTTTAGATTCCAGCATATTTACTCTTTGCAATGGAACCATTTATCAATGAAAAGTGATCTCATGAAACTATTGACCAATTAATTAAGGAAACTAAACTAATAACACACAGAGAGAGAGACATAATTTTCCTTTATGTTAGCAGGATTCATGGTTTTTAAAGAACTGAATTAATACAATATTGACCATAAATGTAGGAAGTATTGATAATTGCTCTATTATTACATCAACAGCTGAAGCAATGGAGCCAGTGAAGGAGTCCCTATATAAATACAAAGGACTCTATTTCATAACTGGCATCTCCTCACCTGAAACTTTAGATTCCCTGGACAGTTTTGAAATCCGAGATGATGATATATTCATAATCACATATCCTAAATCTGGTAAGTTCAAAGATGTCTTCCAAGAAAGATTTAAACTTGTGTCCAATGTTGTCATTCAGTTCCTCAGTGTTTTGGTTGCTGTGACGCTCTATAACCAGATTTTAACATTTCGCATTTTAGAAGAAGCTGGAAATGTAGGGAAAATAAGCTGCTAAACCTCTACTTATATTGTTTATATTTTACTCTACATTGACTACATTGGTAACCTTGGCTAGACGCTCTCTCTCAGCCAATCTACCTCACAGGGCTGTTGTGAGGAAAATAGGAGGAGGAGGACGTATTAGGTATGTTTGCCATCTTGAGTTAGTTTTAAAACTAA